AAATAAATTGTGGAACTTGAAGCAGACTCTTCATTTTGTATTTTTGGTACTTAAATAGTACCTGGTGTCAGAAAAAAAAGAATTAAACAATAAAAGAAATAAATTTAAACTTCAATATTTGAACTGTACCATCCTGACAGACTCAGGCAGTTCAGAGTGTAGCGTCAGTACGTTACATTATCGTTCCAACGCCTGCCGTGACACACGGGGCCTCGGTTTCAAAGGTCTTATCCGAAAAACTCGCAACTTTCACTTCAAAGTCCCAAGCGTTCGGCAAAAGAACAGTTGCTACTTATTTTTTATCGACTTAGGTCAGTGGGGCCGGGATTTGAATCCACGACCTTCCGATCATGGAGCGAGCGCTCTACCGACTGACCTTCCCTCTTGTTTTCTTTTCTGATGGTTTGCAGTTTTATGCATATTCTGTGTCGTATCCCGATGACCTCAAGAGAAATTAAAAGCAAATTCAAGAGGACAACGATGCATATCTCCATTATTTTAAGAACCACCAAACTAAATAGATAGGTTTCAAAATTATCACTTTATAATGGATGTTTGAGGACAGAAAATCCAACTCCACCCGTTCTGCATGCAGGCTACCATCCCCACCCCTCCGCCAAGAAATATACCTCTGGCTTTTTTAAATAAAAATCTTTTTATGACATATTTGTCATAAAATCCATATCATTAAGTCGAAATATTAGCATAAAAATCCCTATTCCATTCTACATAGTGATGTAAAAATAACGAACAGTAATGATGCTCAAAAGTCCAATAAAAAATTCAAATTGTGAGCAGAGCAAACATTGACCTCAGGAAAAAATTAGAGGTGGGATCAGATGCCATGGAGGGGTAAGCATACCCTGTCGACAGGTCACACCGGCCGTATTATCACGGCTAAGTAAACGGAGATATCTCTAGTCAATTCAGTATGAAAATGATATAAAACAACAAAGTTGCCAACTTCTGCAAAACAAGAATTTTTAGAAAATTTCTCATGAAACTTCACCTAGCTCTAAGATCAACAACCTTGCGTCATATGAATGTTCATAAAACAAAACCCCCTTAACTGTTCTTGTTCTTCTTATTTCAACTACAGTCCTGTTGGACAATCATTAATGATGATGTAAATATAGTTGAAAATGACGACCAAAAGCAATCATCTTAAAATGTCCTAAATGCAGGGAGCTCCGATCTTTCAATTGGCGACAGAACTTCATATCTACTATGAACTGTGTCAAAGATTATGCCAGCCGTTAGGCTTTATATGAAGGGGAAGACCTGATCACTTTTTCAGATTGGATAAAGAATTTTAGAAATATATTAAAGAATCGTATTAAAAAGTTGAAAGACAATATGCGAACCATTTGTCTTTTCGTTTTTCACTAAATCGGAGGTGAAAAGAAAATAATTAGAAAGACTACATCAACAATATCTTGTACATGTACACATAGTTCCAGCAGTCAAGGCTTGTAATAAAATCCTCTTTGTTTGTAAGGCTTCATTATCACAACTGTATTTTAGAACTTGGTTATAATTCTTCCTCTGCAAATTCAACTTATAGTTCACTTTCTAAGGATGAATTCTTCAAAATCACATTTTAGTCATAAATACTTTTAACATTCTAGTCAACCAAGGTGAGTTCGATCTACCTTACCTATGCTGGATTCCTAGACCTTCATAGAAATCCTTACAAAGATACACTGTCGGGTCCAGCAAATGCTCTACCAAGCCCCTATCTTTACTCCTCACAAAAATATTAACTGCTGTAAAAGAGAACCTTCAGACGTACTGTACAATTGCATATTCTAAAAATGGTGTAAATTAGACGTGGATTCTCAAAAGCTCAAACAAACTAAAATCTTTTTTTTTCAAAAGGCAGTGGCATCAAAATGTACGACTGTTCTTCGCTTTATACAATAATTCCTCACGACAAATAAAAAATCAAGGCTTTTTGATATCATAGACAACTGCTTCTTCAATAAAACGGAATTTGGAAAATTTTCATATCTTGTGATTGGTCATCAACAAAATTACTTATTTAAAAAGCAATCAGATTCTACTAACAAGTACTCTGAAGTTGAAACATGTATTAAAAGGATGCTGAAGTTTTTCATCAACAACATCTATGTAGTCTTCGGAGACCAGGTCTACCAACAAACTGTTGAATTCCCACGGGCACTAATTTTGCTCCATTAATAGACGAACTGTATTTATGTTCCTTTTAAGCAGAATTTATTCAAAAACGTCTACTTGAGAAGAAGAAAAAAAACACTAGCTGTGGCCTTCAACTCGACATTCAGATATATCGATGACGTTTTTTTCAATTAACAATAGTTTCTTTTATTCATATGTTGACTCTATATATCCCAAAAAACTCAATGTAAAAGATAAGACAAAGCCTGCAACATCTGTTTCATATTTGGATGTTTTACTGACTATAGATGATAAGGACCAACTAACAAATAAATTGTATGACAAACGAGATGTCTTCAGATTATCCATCGCCATCTTTCCTTATTCATGTAGTATTATTCCGCTATCACTTGCATAAGGTGTTTTCGTCTCCCAACTAATAAGCAAGAGCATGCTCTTGGTACGATCAGGTTTAAAACCGACGCAGACCACTGACAGAAAAGATGATGTTAAAGGGATCTCAACAACTTCGTTTAACATAAGCATTTCGTAAATTCTATGGTCGTTATAATGACGTTTTTAGCAAAATAAAATGTCATTTGGTCGTATTTCAGCTGACGTGTTCCATACCAATTACCAGGCCTTTGTTTTTATACTGAATTTGACCACGGAATATTTCGTCTACCTGATCAATACATAGGGCTTACAGCGGGTATAACAGGTCGACAGGAACGACTCCTCCTCCTAGACACCCGGGAACTGTTTCTCAGAAAGGTCTGCAACCAGGCGTAAGCTTAGTCCGGACTAAATCAGCGACTAAACCCGGAACTTGGACTAAGTTGCGTTTCACAAAAAGGCGGAGATTTAGGTCGAAACTAAATCTCTAAGTGGTAAGCGTTTTGCTAAAAAAAAAAAAACAAAAACAAAAACAAAAAAAAAACAAAAACAAAAAAAAAAAAAAATAAAAAAAATAAAAAAAATAAAAAAATAAAAACAAAAACAAACAGAAAACTCTTATACAGGTTTACGGTAATACCTATTCATAAAAAGTATGATTTGCAAAAAATCGTGAAATTTACATTGATGTAGTTTAATAGAAAGGTAGTAAGAAATCCATCGAGGATGTAAGACTTTTCGTAAATGGAGGATGGACGAAATATATATATGTAACTTAAAATTTTGAATTGTGAAACTGGGTCATAAAAGTAAAGTGTCAGAGATTAAAAAACAGGCATTCGTAGTAGGGAGGAGGGGGGGGGGGGCTGCAACCCTCCCTGCTTTTTTCGGTAATAGTGTTTTCTGTTAAATTAAGTTGTAATTTAGGCTGGCCCGTACTTTTACTACTTTTCTTTTTCTCATTCTGTCAGAGTTTGCTGAATACTTCAGACTCCTGTTTTTGGTTACTTACCCCCACCCATCCCCACCCCCAATATAAACAATATAACAATATAAATCAAAAAATAAAAATATTTTATTTGAAGTGGATAATGTTTGAATAATATGCTTCAAACAATATACTGTATGTGTACTTTAAAAAGCGGGCTTGATATTTTAGCGGCTATGGCGCAGACAACGATGCGCTAATTCATGAATACCGCTAAGAAATCATTTATATATACAGTATAGGACACGGACATGTATAGCGCTAATTCATGATTTCGTCAACAACTTCATACCCAGTGATTGCGCTAAATTTTGAATACGCCAATTCATGTACACGTACAGTACATTTAACATATTTTCGATAATGAGAAATCTTCGGTGCCATTAACTAAGTTAATGCAGCTTTTATATTGATTTCCCTCTTCAATTAAATATAAATAATTGATGAACAGAAAAAAAGTTAATTTGTAAACTGTTCCAGTAATTAAAATTTCCTGTCCATAAAACTGTTGTTTTTTTCTATTTCAGACCTGTCATGGCGTAAGATGGGTAAATGGTCTATCATTTTTTTTTAAATACTTACTTGTTTTGTATTAATACAATATATCGTACTTTTCTCAGACCAATTTTTGTATGAAAACGAGTCTTTTTTTATAATCAGTTTATGAACAGAAAAACACTATACATTTGAGAAGTGGTTCTTTCAATATCATCAAAAATAGCTATTTTCAAAAAAAAAAAAAAAAAAAAAAAAAAAAAAAAAAAGATTAAATAAAAGAAATATAGATATTTAAACTTAGTCTATTTTTAAATGTTATTTTATCCTCGAAAGCTCTTCATTACATTATATTTATTTTTTGTATTTTTTCTGATCTAGAGAAAGTTCAAAACAATTGTTTTTGCTGTAACTATATTTATGAAAATCATGATAAGTTAATATTTTTAATTCTATGGATAAAGTCTTCAAGAAAGATTTTGCATATATTATAGAAATACGATGATATTCTAAAGAGAAATTGAAACGGAATTGCTAGATTAAAGAAAAGTGGTACTGGTCATGTTGAAATTTGAACCTTTCCCGATCTAAATAAATCTGATCTCGACTGGACATATATCAAATGGAAATATTTAAGAATTTCATAAAATACTAGATTGCGTGGTTGTGATATGGTTTACAAAGAAATTGATTCAGAACTAATTAAGTTTTTGCAAACCTTTATTGAGAATTGTGCTAATGGAAATTCTGCATGGACTGTGTAAATTATCATATCAATGTCAATGTAACATATACAAAGTGCAATAAAAGTATTATTAATAATTATAATTATTAATATAATGATTAATAATTATCAACTTGAATGCCAATAAGTCTAATCCAATTAGAATTGATTATTCTATTATGAATTATAAATTCAATACAACTGATTTACTTCAAAAATGTCTTTTATCCATATATAATTAATAATATATTTCATAATTGTTCATTTTTCATCCCTTTGCTACTACTTTAAATGTACTTATTTTAATGAAAAACAATTTGATTAATATTCAAAGGAAAGTTACTTAAAATTATCCATGCTTAATTTATTTCAATTTTTTCACCAGTACATGTATGTTATGTACATCGTTTGAGTTTAGATGTTTATCGAAATATCCCAATCATGTACATGTATATGTTCATCTTGTAAATTTGTACCTGCATGTATATCTTTTTTTTTTTAATTTGTACATGCAAGTATATCTCAGCATACAGAAATAGTTATTGAATTTAATTCTTTGACCTAGAAAATACAAATGAATTTACGTAATATATCTGTTGGTCAACGATGCAATTTTCTCATTCTAACAAAGAGTAGACTTTGTTCATTTCTAAATTTCCTTGGATGCCACTGCTAGAGGACCATCAGAGTCTTCAAATACACTGTGTTCTTTCTTCCTACTTTTGCGCAGGCGAAGTCCACTGTTTTCTGTGTACCATCTTTTTGTTTCATCCAGAGTCTGAGGTAAATCCATTCCACGTGTTTCCGGTAAATACAAAGCAATAATTGTGACAATAAAACACATCAGAGCAAAAATGGTTCCCGGGGCCCAAGGTACAGCTCGTGCCTTAAAACGTATGAAGAAGTATAAAATATAAATCAAAGTCTATGACATATGCATGATAAATCTGTAAAGACAACATGATACTCTGAATCAGTGATGTGATATTGACGTAAAATTACCAAAGTTCCAGCAAAAGGCGATATCATGGCACCAATCCTAGAGAATGTTGAACACAAACCAATACCGACATTCCTGGAAAATAAAGAATAGAAAAAAAAAAATATGTATGTTAGGAATTATGTTCTCAAAGAATTTGATTAAAAACCCACCTTAGATTTGTGGGAAACAGTTCAGGAGTAAGGAGAAATAGCACACTAAATGATCCAGTCACAGACATCTTCCCGGCAAAGGTCGCCAAAACTGATAGTAGTATGAGCGTTCCATCTCCATCTGATTTCAAAGTAAGCAAACATGTTATAAAATAACTTTGTTGAGCGATGGAAGCATAAGAATTGAAACAATAATAATAAAGTATTACCTGAAAAGTATTTCAACAGGGTGGCAAAAGCCAGTGAAGTTCCAGCTAAAGATTGGAAAAAAATTGTTGTAGTTCTTCTCCCAAACCTACAAGTTTGGACAACAGAGCACTGAGTACTGCTGTTAAGCCACTGTTTGGTGACAATGAATATTCACCAGTTTGTAAAAACAAATATTATGACAAAAGTAGATAGTAAATGTGTTTTATATAGAATATAAGATGTGATAATAATGGTTAGGAAGAAAAATGTAAAACATTTGAAGGAAATATAATCTGATATAATTTTAAGAAAGCTTAAGCTTGTCACGTGAATGAACGTAGAATTCCGTCAGAATCATCGATGCAATAAAGCCTACATTAGATCCTGCAATATTTAGTCTTACCGGCGTAGCATGCCGTATTCCAGGATAACTGAAATGTATTCTACACAGGCCATGAAGAAAAAGTTAAGGAAACGATTTCCCGCCAACGACGTAGCTGTGAGGATCAGCCCATAGTATGTCAGAGTGTTAGTCACCCTAAAAAAGAGATTTTATATTAAATCGGGTAAGGGTTTTTACCTTCCCGAAAAGAATTTTCAATTTCATCGATATTTCACCAGATATATGTATCATTGACTTGAGTAAATTCTTGACATTACCATGTGAAACACATCAGGAGGGAAATGACGAGGACAGATTTGTTTCTAAGGATGGTAATGATGGAGTATTTTTCAACAACATGGAGCTGTTGCTGTTCGGCCAGCATTTTGTCTGTTTCTTCTTTTTCTTTATTCCTTAATGCCATTCTCTTTTTCACATTCTTCTTGAGATTCTCATAATCAAGTTTGTTCCATTTGGCAACCTTTCGTACTATTCGTTCTGCTTCTTTCTTTTTCCCGTTGGCTACGAGCCATCGTAATGATTCGTCTTGAATCCTAGATACGATAGACACTTTTGTTTTGTTAAGCTGGTTGATACGTTAGTTGGTCTTTTAAGTTTTGGCATAAGAAATAACATTAAGGACAGTAAAATGAAATTTATATTCATATTAGAAATCGTTTGGCGACTACAATATGCAAATATTTACAGGAGGGAAAAGAAAGTGATTCGAAGGGAAAAGTAAAGGAACATGTATTAGGACTGGTGCTTGGTCAGAAATTATATTATACCTACCAATATTGGAACAAGCTCAAAAAGGAAAAACAGGTAAGTGTAATTTGAAGATATCTCCAGGAGTAGTTCTGCAGTAGATAAGCAATCGCAGTCATGATAATCAGACCTGTACTCCAAGTAAGGAAGCCTATTACTGAAGAGTAGAAGCGACTCTGCTCTGGAAGGAGTTCCACGAATAAGACAACACCAGACATGACCATTCCCTGAGAGAGAAAGCAAATCATAGGAGATCGTCGCAAGAGTAAGGACAAGTTTGAGAAGAAGCTTTTCCAAACCAGACTTAGACTTGATGACAACCTGTTGAAAAACGCCAAGAACAAATTTCATGGCTGCCAGTGTTGCATAATTTGACGCAAAGGCCATGGAAATTCCCAATATCAAGGTCAAAAGGTTTGAGCCAAGATGGACGGTCTTTCTTCCTACTCTGTCGCTGAGGGATGAGGCAAAGGCTGCTCCTACCAGTTGTCCCGCCATCATTAATGTCTGCAGAAGTTCCGCTAAATGTGCTCGGTCGCAGACAAGATCAAACTGATGTAAAATATATCTTTGTTATGTTAAATTTGTGTAGAATAACAATATTCAGTTATCGATAGCATTTTTCTTAATTGAACATTTATCAAAAAGTAAGAGAAGCATGAATTTCATTTATGTTGATTTCTCCAATTTGAATTACATGTTAAGCTTCACTTTTGCTGAATTCAAGAAGGAGATCTATAGAGGACTTTGTAAATACGGTAAAACTGACAAAATAAACTAGATGCTGTTGAGTCAGTAATACCCGCACGTAGGTGTTTGCCTCTAAATGTATTTATCTTCATATTTGGGTAGACAAGGAAGCCCCCAATCGCCCCAGGCGGATAAATCGAATTTCCGAATCCTAAATTCGCATCTACAGGGCACGCCCAGACATTCCAGAATATGATTGGGCTACTATGGAAAATGTAAGAGTAGTTCAGGGAACAAGGTTTTGTAACAAAAAAGAGACATTTTTGACCTCCAAAATCACCATCCAAAAGATAATTTGGCTACTACAAAAAATGTAAGAGGAGTTAAGGGAACAAGGTTTCTGTAGAAAAAATTATTTTTGGACCCCCATTCATCCTTTAAGGTGAAAATTCTAAATTCGGAAACCTTATTGCATATCTACAGGACACGCCCAGTCATATTTCAAAATGGGAATAAACTACTGCACAGTTCTGGGAACCACATATCTGTAGAAAACCGACACTTTTTGATCCCCAAGGTGAAAATTGAAATTCTATATCCTTATTGCATATCCACTGGAACTCCCAATCATGTTCCAAAATATGAATGGGCTACTGCGAAAAAATGTAAGAGGAGTTCAAACAACAAGTTTGGGTAGAAACAACGATGTTTTGGACTCCCATTTGGTCCCTAGGGTGACAATGAAAACTCCAAAAACCTTATTGCAATTCTACAGGACCCTCCCTATCATGTTCCAAAAGATGAGTTGGCTACTACAAAAACTGTAAGAGGAGTTAAGGGAACCAGGTAATTTTTTGACCCCCAATTCCTAACATGGTGAATATCGAAATTATGAAGCATTATCTAGAGGACACTTTCAATCATACTCCAAAATATTAGTATGTGGGTTGTTGCGAAAAATGTATGAGGAGTTCAGGGAACCAGGTTTGTAGAAAAACCAAATTTCTGACCCGCATTTAGCACCCAGAATAAAATTGAAATTTCCAAACCTTTCTGCACATGTTCAGGGCTCCACTAATCATATTTCAAAAGATGAGTTGGCTATTGATTAAAATTCAAGAGTATTTTGAGGAAGCAGAAAGTGTGAAAGGCGGACAGAAGCACGGACGGACAGACCAGGATAACAATATATGGGAGCTTTCTTTAGAAAGTGCGGGTATAATGAAAAAAAAATGTTTTTTCAACGTATCAATTTCATGAATTCTATAATTTTCGAGGTTTCTTTCGAAAAATAAGCCAATAAAGATTTTATAAGAGCAGTGTTCGTCGAGTAGAATTCAGATTAAAAGGGTTTTGTTTAAATATTTTTAACGTAGTCCTGCCTGGCTACCAGTAAGAGTTTACAAGAGAAAAATTCAATTCACCCCATAGGCCCCGTCTTTTGTTTAGTCAAAGTGTTCTTTCTTAATGAAAAAGGTGAAGATAACGAACAGTGATATAAAAAAATTGGAATGTACAATTAATCAGAACTTCATCCGAAATATTTACAAAACATACTATTCCGTTAAATCTACCTCTGTGACAATAGTGCTGTCTTTTCCTAACGTGTACTGATACCCGTTTGGACACTTTGCTGTTGCCATTAGTTTTGGATGCTGTATATCTGAGTCATTGTGATAACATTTTTCGTATGTCATGTACATAGAACTATTTGTAAGAGACTGGTTGTCATTCTCCGACGCTGCACATTGGAAGCCTGGTCTGTAGGCTGAAAATCGACATAAAAGTCAAATCATTTATAGCATTCTGGTAGCCAAAGAAAGTGTACACGCCATTTTATATTTAATTTAACAGAAAGATTTGCCAGAAAATTTATTGTAAGGTTGATAATTACTGAAATTATTTTGATAAAGATTTCAAAAAATAAAATTGAAACACATTGATAATTACCAAATTATTAATTTTTTTGAATCAAAGATTTGATTTGCTACCTAGTGAATAAAAACTATATTTTTTATTATTCAAAAACCCCAAACCAAATATATTCGTAAAGCCATCTTTAAGACTTTAAGTGTTCCTGACTAAAACTCTGCAATTATCTTGTGCCCTTGTCTTGTTCTTTTTGTTTAACGTCCCTCTCGAGAATTTTTCACTCATATTGAGTAACCGCCACTTACCGGTGGCGGGCTACAAATAAAAGACCCTTAGTCGGCACTTACGACCTTTGTGCAGTGAGGAATCTTTTCCTTGCCAGCAGCTACTGCGACACGGGACCTCGGTTTATAGGGTCTCATCCGAAGGACCGGTGTCCACGTCCCACGGTGGGATTGAACTTGCGACGTAAGGATCAACTCCTTACTCCGCTACTCTAGAACAAACGCTCTAACCACTGCGCCAAGCAGGTCACCCCTTGTCTTGTAAAAAAAGAGCTAAATCGTGATATCTCTGACAACGAACCCCTTTTTAAACTTGCGTAAACACCTATGGAATCTACATGACAGGATTATGATAACTGAAGTTGACCTCTACTTAAAACCCTGCTGCAGCCTTATGATCATACCAAGACTTATGCCAAGAATGAGCTCCTGTTTATTCCTGTTTGAAATTTACAGATTGGACAGGACGTGTGACTAATAGACAGATGGACGAAAATGGTAATACCTGCTAACTGTATTTCAAAATAAATTCACATTAAAATTTCCTTTTAGGATAAATCCTTACAGCTTTCAATTGCTATTTGCATTATTAAAACAACTGATATAGAATAATAACATTTACTTATCATTGTGCTGTATTTTTCAATAAAAATGGACTATAGATTTTGAACTTCGAGAAGTTATAAACATTTTGAACTTAAGCAGGTCGCAGTGATTTACATTCAATATTCTTGAATACAGATAAAGGATTCGATTAATTGATTATTGTTTAACGCCAAATAGATAATATTTCAGCCTTATTTCGGCGATAAAGGATTCGAAGAAGTAAATTGAAATTCCTACATTGATTCGATATATCCCACTAAACTCAAAATAAAAAATACACAGAATCTGACAAATCTTTTTTCATATTTTAATATTTCATTAAAGAAAAATATTGATGGCAAACTGACAACTTAGTTTAATGATAAACGTGAAGACTTCAAATTTTCTATCGTGAATATTCCTTATTTACGTAGAAATATAACATTATCTCCTGCATTTAAGTTTATGTCTTCCAGTTGATCCGGAAGGGCAAACTCTGACTATGATCAATTTTTAAACCGAGACAAGCTATACTTACGAATAAGTTGATGTCACAAGGATTTCAACAACCCCGTTTAGTTTATTGCAAATTCCACGTAAATTGACATCGTTTGTAACTAAAACCTAGGATTGGGCCTTATTATGTTCCCCAAACGAAGTTTGGGAACATATTGTTTTTACTCTGTTTCTTATTATTATCATTATTATTAAGGTCTTCCGTTTCAGACGGAAGACCTTATAGTGATTCTACTGTTTATTAAGGTCTTCCGTTTCAGACGGAAGACCTTATAGTGATTCTACTGTTTATTATTATTATTATTTTTTTCCCGTTTTTTGTCCAAGCGATTTCTCAGAGATGGCTCGATGGATTTTCTTGAAACTTTCAGGGATTATGACAAATAAAATAAACTAAAAACATTTTTAAGGATTTTGCAAAATTCACTTCCGGTCGTCAAATATGTCCAATTTCCGTTTTTTCAAAAGAGATCATGTCCGGACGATATCTCAGAAACGGTAAAAGATTAAGACCTCAAACTTTTAGAGATTATAGATCATGACAAGTACGTTTGCAGAATATGTTTAAATCCGTAAGCCGTCACTTCCGGTTGTCAAAGGAGGAGATCAAAGAAATCGAAAATTTCAACTTTTCTTATTTTAATTAAATCTTGCATTGCATTATTGCATCTGTTTTACAGTTTCGAAATATGTTAGTCCCACCGGAAACAGAAACGTCAACCTCCGGTTATAAGAGAAAAACTACATAATTTGAGTATTTTACTTTCCCATAAATATCGCTTATAGATGAAGTATTTGAAATGATTTTTAGATATGTTATTTAGACTGCAAATGTCTAGAGTAACGTCAAATATCTTGGTAAAATTGACTTCCGGTCGCATGTTTTACTGTCTGCAAAATAAGAATTTGTCAAAGTGAGATCTCAGAAACGGTAAGAGATTAAGACACCAAACTTATATGAGTAATAGAACTTAATGAGTAGGCAAAACTCTTTGGGTTAATAGCGTCAGCCGTCACTTCCGGTCGTTACAGGAAGTGATCAAAGAAATCGAAAATTTAAACTTTTCACTTTTGAAAAAAAACTTGCATCATATAATTGAATCTCTTTCACAGTTTCTATATGTGTTGGTCTCACTGGAAACAAAAAACGACACTTTCCGGTTATAAGAGAGAAACTATGTTATTGAGATTTTTAACATTCCCAAAAATATCACTTATTGATAAAGTTTTTGAAATGATTTTTACATATGTTATTGAGACTGCAATTGTCTAGTGTGAAGTCTACCATCTTAGGAAAATGCACTTCCGGTCGCGTGTTTTTCTGTCCTCAAGTTGAGATTTTGTTCACCTAAATGCTCAAAAACACTACATGACTGAAGTCAAAAACTTTCAGAACTTACAGTTAGTTACCAGTTTATCTACATCATGTAAAAATCGTACGTTGTCGCCACTTTCGGTCGTGACAGGAAGCGATGCAAAAAAGTGAATTTTTAAAGGTTTTTTTCTTGTTGCAGAAAAGTTTGGCTAATGCAGATGTTAGATAGACCATGACCATGCAAATTATTTTTATACATTTTATTCGTTTGGAGCACTTTCGTTCATGACGAAGCACATAAAGAAAACAGAAAAGTAATTCCGTTTGTTTTTATCTGTATCTACATATCTTTGGAAGCCTTGAGATAACTTTTGTTATTATTTAGAGTAATCTTATTGAGATGATTGTGAGGTTGTTTTTCAAAGGAGTCAAGAAAACGGAAGACCTGTTATTGCCCAGGCAATAAGTATCTAGTTTATTATTATTATTTTTTCCAGCTTTTTGTCGAAGCGATTTCTCAGAGACGGTTCAATGGATTTTCTTGAAACTTTCAGGGATTATGAAAAAGAAAATAAAATCGGAACTTTTCAAAAGATTTTGCAAAATTCACTTCCGTTCGTCAGATATTACCGATTACCGTTTTTTCAAAAGAGATCATATCCGAACGAGATCTCAGAAACGGTAATAGCTTTAGACACGAAACTTTCAGGAATGAAAGATCATGAGAAGTACGTTTGCAGAATTAGTTCAAATCTGTCAGCCGTTACTTCCGGTTGTCACAGGAAGTGATCATAGAAATCGAAATTTTCAACTTTTCTTTTTTGATTTTTTTTTCTTTCATCACATTGTTGCATCTTATTTGTAGTTTCGAAATATGTCAGTCCCACCGGAAACAAAAACGACAACTTGCTATAAGCGAAAAACTGCATAATTTGAGTATTTTACTTTCCCATAAATTTTTTTATAGATAATGTATTTGAACTGATTTATGAATATGTTATCAAGACTGCAAATGTCTAGAGTAATGTCAAATATCTTTGTAAAATTCACTTCCGGTCGCACGTTTAAAGGCCGCAAAATGAAAACTTGTCCGAGTGAGATCTCAGAAACTGTAAGAGATTTAGACACCAAACTTATAGGAGTTTTAGACCTTGAGGAGTAGACAAAACCTTTTGGGTTAAGAGCGTCAGCCGTCACTTCCGGTCGTCACAGGAAGTCATCAAAGAAACCAAAAATTTTAACTTTTCTCTTTTGGAATAAGACTTGCATCATATAATTGTATCTCTTGTAACTCTTTTTCACAGTTACGATATGTATTGGTCCCACCGGAAACAAAAAACGACAACTTCCGGTTATAAGAGAAAAACTACATAATAGGGGTTTTTAATTTTCCCATACATATCGTTTAAAGTTCTTTAAATGATTTTTTTATATGTTATTGAGACTGCAGATGTCTAGAGGGACGTGAAATATCTTAGTAAAATTCACTTCCGGTCGCGTGTTTTCTTGTCCTCAAAATGAAAAGTTATTCATCGAGATCTCGGAAACGGCATGAGTAAGACACCAAACTTATAGAAGTAAGAAACGTTGGTGAGAAGGCAAAATACATAGGGTTAAAAGCGTCAGCCGTCACTTCCGGTCCTCACAGGAAGTGATCGAAGAAATCGAAAATTTCAACTTTTCTTTTTAAACTTAAAACTTTCATCACTTTATTGCTTCTCTTTCGCTGTTTTGAAATATGTTAGATTCCACCGGAAACAAAAACTTTAAACTTCCGGTTTTAAGAGATAAACTACGTTATTTCGTGGTTTAAATTTTTCATAAATATCACTTATAGATAAGTATTTGAAACGTTCTTTACTTATGCTGTAGATACTGCAAAAGTCAAGAGAAAATTCAGAGATTTTTATTCAGTTCACTTCCGGTCGAGTGTTTTCCTGTCCTCAAAATTAGAATTTGTTCTCACAATTGTTCGGCAACAGTAAAAGACTGAAGTCTAAGACTTTCAGGACTTATAGTCAGTCATCAGTTTATTTGCATCGTGTAGAAATCGTGTATCGTCATTACTTCCGGTCGTGACAGGAAACGAAGCAAAAAAGTATTTTTTTTAAAGTTAATTTGTTTCTACATACGTTTTAGGCTAGTGCCGAAGTTGGAAAAGACATGTTCATGCAAACGTACAGGAAGTAGAATAAC